TGGCGTTGCAGACGTGTTGAGTGACCTTGCCAACGCCTATCAGGAGGTGAAGCGCTTTCAGTGCGATCTGCTGCTCGGCAGCACAGTTCCCCTGCGCGCCATTTGCGCCTCTGCCTGGTGATGCGCTGTTGCCCGCGCGTGCTCCTCATGGGCCTCCTCCGGGCCTCTTTGCGGCGTGTGCGACTGCATTGGCAGGCTGCGGCTACACGCGCGCCCGCCCCCTCGGATCGTGACTGCGCGGTTCGGGCCTTCCACCTGCGTGGATTATTCAACGGCGTCGGTGACATTATTACGCAAGACGTCGCAACCACCAGGTTAGTCAGGGACTCGGCCGCCCAGGCCACGCGCGACCTCTGCGAGCAAGCTAGAGGCCAGACAGCTGATCATGTTTAGAAGTAGAGGTAGAATGGTGGCCTCTACTGCCGATCTCAGCTGATATATGCGCGGGGCCTTTGAAGTGGGGATTAAAATCGGAGCGTTCGGTTCGGAATCCTGGCTGCGGCCATTCGCTTCGCGGTCGGGCCGCTCGTGCCCAAAAGACTCGGATGGTGAAGATCAGACTTCGAGCCTGTTGGTGGAGGCCGCTCAAACCCCAGCTCAAAAAGTTAACTTCGGTTTCGCGTTCGGGTGCCCTTCTAGCTGGCAGTTACGGCGCAGGAGTCATGTGAGTTTCTGACAAGCGGTTCCGGCATCTCAGACCGGCCGCGGCGGAAGGCATCTTTGGCCTTGCGAGGGGCCGTCCGCGGACGATGCAGTTCGCTCTCGTTGGCAATCAGGCGGCAGACCCAGTCTACATCGGCAACTCGGCGCCATTGGCATTCTGGGGAAGAGCTTTCTTGGGCTCTTGGGCCCCCGAGCAACATATGGAACGTGTGTTCAGGTTTTACCTATTGAATGTTCCTGATACCTCCCGGTCTGATGTCAGAGGTCCGACGGGGGCGGCGTCGTGCACGCTTAAGTGGATTCTCCCGGTTCCTGAGACGTTCTTGAAGTGGTTCACGCCGACTGGGATGCCGAAGGGCCTCGCGACATTTGGGTCTCGCAGTTTGAAGCGCCCCGTGGACTTAGCCACTGAGGGCGCTACCGCTGGCGAGCGGCAGCGGGCGCGCGGCGGCGCCTCTTGCCCTGGGGCCGGCGAGGTGCTCAGGAAGAAAGGAGATGCCTTAGAGGCGTCGCTCTTGGCTGCGCCTGTCCCTGGAGGCCTGGCCACGCAGCTGGAGTCATTTCAGGATCGACGGTTTAGACCGAGGATGAAGGTTTCGGGGAATCTTTGGGCGCCCAGGGAACCGGCAATTTAGGCAAGGCAAGTGTCTTGAGAAAGAGCTGCCTCATTGGGAATGGGGGCCCTGATGGCCCCCCCCATCACTCGGCGCCCCCCCCACCCCCCCACGAAGTGACCCCCCGCCCACGAGACCCTGGACAGGTGGAGGTGGATCGTTCCCCCGCCTGAAGGTGTCGTCTCAGGCAAGATCTGCTCCGATGGCTCTGTCTTGGAGCCAAGAATTCGACATCGCAGCTGAGCTGGTTGGGCGCTTGCCATGATGAACGAAGCTGGAGATCTCTTGGCCAGTGCGTCAGGGCCCCTTTCCGCGGCCAGCGCGCCGTGGAGACCTCTTGGCCAGATGCAGGAGATGCATGGGGCAGCGTTTTGCGCTGTGCTTATGATCCTCAGGCGCGCAGGGCCTGGTTCCCTTGAAGTAGGCACCGGCTGCGCTGATTTGGTCTCTGTCATGAGCCGAGTTCGCGATCAGGGCCGCACGGTTTCCTCTTTCTTTTGGGGGGAGAAATGTTCCCAATCCTCCTTTGGTCGGGTGTTCGTTTTGAATAGTGCACTGTGGTATCCGCCCATCCTTCTCTCCTCTGTCTTGCCTCGGGGGGGGGGGGGGGCTGCGATCTGCGAGACTGCTGCCGCTTTCGGGGGCTGCTGGGCGGCCCAGCATGGCGACGTCCTACGCAGCTGTAAATTTAACTTCGCCATCCCTGGGGGGCTACGACCTGTGAAACTGTCGCCGCTTTTGAGGCCTGCTGGGGGGTCCAGCATAGCGACGCCCTACGCAGATGCAAGTTAGACCTCGCCATCCCTGTGGGGCTGCGATCTGTGAAACAGTCGCCACTTTCGAGGGCTGCTGGGGGGGCCCTGCATAGCGACGTGCTACGCAGATGCAAACTAAACCTCGCCATCCCTTCGGGCCGCGATCTGTGAAACTTCCGCCACTTTCGAGGCCTGCTGGGGGGCCCAGCATAGCAGCGCCCTGCGCAGATCCAAAGTAGACCTCGCCATCCCTGGAGAGCTGTTCAATTTAGACTTCGCCGTCCCTGGGGGGCTGCAGTCTGTGAAACTCGGGCCGCTTTCGAGGGCTGCTGGCGGGTCCAGCGTAGTGACGTGCTACGCAGATGCACAGTCGACCTCGCCATCCCTGGGGGGCTGCGATCTGTGACGCTGTCGCCGCTTTCGAGGGCTGCTGGGGGGGTTCAGCATAGTGGCGCCCTACGCAGATGCAAACTAGACCTCGCCATCCCTGGGGGGCTGCGATCTGCGAAACCTTGTCATTTGGAGGGCTGCTGGGGGTACAGCATGGTGGCGTGCTACGCAGGTGCAAATTAGACCTCGCCGTCACTGCGGGCTGCGATATGTGAAACTGTCGCCACTTCCGAGGGCTGCTGGGTGGTCCAGCATAGCGACGTCCTGTGCAGATGCAAATGTGACCTCGCCATCCTTGAGGGGCTGCGATCTGTGAAAATGTCGCCGCTTTCGAGGGTTGCTGGGGTCCAGCATAGGAACGTCCTACGCGGATGCAAACTAGACCTCGCCATCCCTGGGGGGCGGCTGCGATCTGTGAAACTGCCGCCACTTTCGAGGCCTGCGGGGGGGTCCAACATAGTGACGTGCTACGCAGATGCAAACTAGACCTCGCCACCCCTGGGGGGCTGCGATCTGTGAAACAGTCGCCGCTTTCGAGGCCTGCTGGGGGACCCAGCATAGTGACGCGCTGCGCAGAGGCTAGTTCGACTCCGCCATCCCTGGGGGGCTGCGATCTGTGAAAGTGTCGCCACTTTCGAGAGCTGTCGGGGTGCCAGCATAGTGGGTAACTGCCGCATATTTAAACTAGATCTAGCGGCGTCCTGTGCATATGCAAATTTGACGTCGCCATCCCTGGGGGTGCTGCGATCTTTGGCTCTGTCGCTACTTTCGAAGTTTGCTGGGGGGGTCCCTGGGCTGCGGCTCCTTTCTCGCGTGCCGCCCGTGGACCGCGCGGCGCGCCTGCGTGCTTTTAGCTCCCGTGTTGAAAGGTGCCGGAAAGAGGCCCATCTGCTGGCAGAGTGGCTCGGCCTTGAGGACTTCTTGCGTTGACTGCGCTTGTTCGGTGGCGTGCCTCGAAACATGGTCCCCCCACTTCCGCTGCCCTCTTTTCGTCGTCCCCCCCTTCCCTCCAGCCGCCCTTTTCACTCTGCACCATGGCCATGTGGCTCTTGAGAAGCCTAATGTGGCATCCAGTGGCCAAAATGGCCTTCAAGGTGCGTCATCGCCCGCCCAATCCATGCAACATAGCCTTACTGGACCGCCAACCTGCTCCAACATGTCTTCCACGTCGGCCAGGAGATGCAAATATGGCCACCAAGCGTGTGCATCTTCAACACCCTACCCCCTTCGATCTTACATCCTCGACAGTTTTCTCTTTTATCTGCACTCCTTCAGTCTTCGTCCACAGATTCTTACCCTTCTCGTCCATCCCGTTCTCACAATTTTTCCGTTGTTCGTCCCCGCTCATCACCCTTCGCTTCTCTTCCTTTTCCGATATTGTCATTCACCCTTTTCCTTCCCTTTCGAGCCGCATTACGACGTCGTCTTCAATTGAGGTGCTCATCCGGGGAATGTCCACCTTTCCAATTACCCCACTCCTCCGAAGCCCATCCAATTTCAAACCCGGCCATTTCTTCCCTTTACTCCGTTTTCTTCCGCGCCCCCCCGCACTCGTTTCCAACCTCGCTCGACCCATTCCGCGCCATTGGAAGATGAGGGTATCGATCAATCGAGCAGTCGACCAACGAATTGTCAGCACGGTTCCGTTCGACCGCATGAGTAACACTGGTGGTTTGCGATCGACGAGCTTTTGCTTGGCGGACATACTTCAGGAGGGAAAGAAACACACAGACACAATTAATCGTCGACTCCCAGGAAAATATGGGAAAATATGGGAAGTGGGGGGGAAGACAGAATCCCAGAAAATATGAAAAAATATGGGGAATCTTTTTATTTGTGTGTATTTATTTGTGTGTCCTGTGGCCCCTTCAATACTATGGATGCTTACCCCCCGCCCACCCCAGCTCCGCAGCCCGACCAGGCCCTCGCGCGTTGTGCCATGGCGGGGCCATACACGCGGGATTCAAGGGAGGTGCGCCTCGCATGCATCTCAGCGGCTTTCCTCCCTCCTCCCTCCTCGCTCCTCGCTTCTCCCTCCTCGCTCCTCGCTCCTCGCTCCTCGCTCCTCGCTCCTCGAGCGGCCCTGAAGGGGCCCCTGGGGCACAAAAGGCGCACGACAAGTGCACGCCCCCCCCTCCCCTCAATTACGGTCGGACCGAGGTATAAGACCGGGGTCGGTTCGGGGAGGGCACCCGCATGTTATTCGCGCTGGCTTGATATTGCTGTACATCCTCGGGGAGGGCACCTTCGAATGCTCTTCAGTTTGTGCCAGCAGAGGGTCTCATGCTCTTGAAGGGTGTTCTTCTGTCCCAGGTCCGACTGTAAATCGTCCTGGTCCTCTTGTTTCTGCCTTTTACACTCTGCCTGGACTGAGGGGCCGCGGCTCGCAGTCCCGGAGATGTGCAAGTACACACGAGAGGCCAGACCTGGCGATTGCTCAAGGCTGAACGACCCCCGCGCGCGGCGTGGGCGCCAGGGACCTCCAGGAGGATCCATCGCGGGGAGCGGCCTGGGCAAAAAACTGCAATCGCCCCCCCCCTTCGGCCACCCCCGAGCGGCCCGCCGCCCCCTGCCGCAGGACGGCTACATCCCCAAGGACCCGTGAGCCCCCGTGTGCGGCCGGCGCGCGCTGCCGCGGGCAGTCCCCCGGACGGCCCGCTGCGCGCGCCGGTGCGGGCCAGAGGGAGGGTCGGGTCGGGCGAAAGGGGGGGATTGGGAAAGGAGGGGTTACGGAATCTGCTGCATGCAGCTGGTGTCGGCCCCACCGAGGGGCCCATTCCTCGATACACAGCCGCCTCCAGGCGCCGGGAGGCGCCGGGAAAATCAGCTACGTGAGCTGATTCTCAAACCCCCCCTTTGCTATCCCCCCCTTTCGCCCGGCCCGAGAGGGCTCCGGGCCTCCCAGGCCAGAATCAAGCAGTGGCGAAGCGTCCTGGCTCGCCTACAGCCTGACCAAACAATGTTCAAGAACCCTTTGTGTGACATGTGCTTAGATCAGTTCTGGCGGAGTCAGCCTTGGCTTATCACATCGGGTTCATGTTCTAAAAACATTATCTTCGTTCTTAGAACATTTTTGGGTCCTACGAACATTTCGTGGTAGGACTATAGGAATGCCGGGACGGTCGTTCCCTGCTCAAGAGGGGGGGCTCCGGGCCTCCCAGGTCAGATCGGCGGCGACGATAGGGGGCGAAAAGCCCGGGGGGCGGGCATTACACGCATTCGCCCGGAGGCTTTTCGAAGACATAGCTCATCGGCGCACTTGAATGCATTTATTGCTCTCCCCTGGGCTACTCGCCGCTATCGTCGCCTCTGATCAGAAGGTTTTAGCGGAGGAGTCCTGCCACTGCTGGAGCGACGCAGGAGGCATTTCTGGGGTCTCATTGGGCGCGCGGTGAGCGTGTCCCGTCCACTGCACGGCCCGTCCACCCACCGAAGAGTCAGAGGAGGATAAGGCATCGATACCGCTATCCTCGCCTCGTCTTTCCCCCTCCTTGGGCCTCCTCGGGGGAGGTCCTCGCCGCCACCGCTGGATTCGCCTCGAAGTCCTGGTCGGGACGCACGCGGGAGAGGTCCAGGGAGTAGCGGTATCGGTACCTCCCTTGGTTTTCCCGAAGATCGGCGGCGAGCAAGGAGGGGAGGTGAGACGGGGCGGGCCTTCTCGGAAGGCTCGGGAGTCTGAAGATTCCTGAGCCTTCCCCGAAGACGCAGGAAAGAACTTCTCAGAAGGCGCGAACGCTTCGGCGAAGTCCCGCGGCCTTGTGAGCAGGCTTTCCCGTCCTCCTCCTCCTCCTCCTGCTCCTCCTCCTGCCCTTCCCTCTCCTCCTCCTCCTCCTGCTCCTGCTTCTCCTCCTCCTCCTCATCATCATCATCCTGCTCCTCCTGCTCTTGTTTTCTAAACGTGTTTGCTCGCGCCCCGCAGGTCTTGGCCGTCGCAGTGCCGCCGCCATTGCCCTCGCTGAAGCTTCAAAAGCTGCCGCCAGAGACCTGCATGCTGCAGGCTGGCTTTTCCATCCCCAGTTTTCTCTCGGCACTCAGCAAATTCGGGCCAGTGGTCGAAGTCGCCCGCCAGTTCTTCTTCCAGAGCCAGATTTCAGATTACCTCTGGCTGGTGCTGATCTTCGTCTTCTGTCCTGGTCTGCTGATCGCTCACTCTCTGCTGCCATGTCTGTTTTCAGAGCTGGACGCCGTGTGGTCGTGCAGTGGCACTCGCGAGGATTGTGGGAGACCCGGATCCTGATCGCCCCTTGCGGCGTCGACGAGGCGAAGTTAGAGGGCGACGTCGTCGCAACAGCAGCTCAGGAGAGAGCGGGAGTAATTTGGTACGCGCTAACTCCCGAGCTAGACATATACCCCCACGTCCTCGAGGTCGGGCCAAACTTGCTGACTGGGATCGTGGCCTTCGACAGCGAGGGCTGGTGAACCAAGTGAAGAGATGGTCAGCTCGGAGTGCGGCATACGGCGACGAGAGGGACCCAACGCCGCTCGAGGTAATGGAGGCCCTGGAGTTCGTTCAAGCTCCCCCTGGGTCGGCGAGCCAGCCAGCGACGGCCGACAGGGGCCGTCGGTTGCGAGGCAAGCAGCCAACCGCGCCCGCGGCTGGGACAGCAGCTCCACCGAGTGACTTCGAGACAGGCGTCGATGAGCTTCCAGACCCAGGCCCCCTGGAGTGGCACGGCTTGGCCTCGACGGATGCCAGGACGGACGAGCGGAGGTTGAGCACGATCACGGTGGACTCGTTCGTGCGGATGGGCGATTATGTTTTAGCCAGACGTGGGGTTCGATCATCGCAGTGGTGTTGGATCTTTCGGCGCCAGGCTCCGACTTCGAGCTCGACGCCAGGTTGTTGCCTCTCGTGCTCAGCCCCCAACAAGTCCGACATCTGCCTTTTCTCCACTGGCGTGAGCCAGCTCACGGAGTCTCCGTGGCGTGGGTGACCCATCATGGGCCTTCGGACGGTGAAGCGGTGTGTGGATTTCTTGTCGCAGAAGGGTCATCATCTTCGAACGCGTCATGCCACGTGGGTACACGAAGCCATCTTGAACCTTGGAACGAGAGCGTGCAGGACCATGACCCGGCGATGAGGAAATTCGAGATGGTATTCGTGTTTGATCAGGCGAACGTGTCCGAGCACGCGGCCTACGAGCTGATTGCCCGCCTTGCGCAGATGGTGGAGTGGCGGCGTCGGGATCGAGTGCTGGGTCGGTCGAAGGATGTTTTGTTCGACGATCAGTTTCTTTACATGGGCACGGGGGAGAAGACCAGAGGCTTGCTGATGGTCTCTCCCCCGAGCTGCAGGGGCACATCAACTCGGAACTCCACCGCGTGGCCGCCATCCTCAGTGGCGCAGTCAGAGGGCCTGCGTCATCTTCGCAAAATTATCAGCAGTGCGGGGTCTCCCCCGTACGGCGCCGCGGAAACCCATCGGGTGCCTTGCGGCGTCGCGCCCGGCTGCGGCGCGGGGTCGGTGCGTCGAGCTGCGCACCGACGAGGGCGCGTCTCTCCACCGCCCCCCGGCGCGCTGCAAGCCGGACGCCATGCTCAAGGGTGGCGCGCCTGACCAGTGGGCGCGCTGGCAGCGGCGCATCGTGCGTCAAGGCCCCGCCGATGCGCGGGACATCAGGCCCTACTCTGACCAGGCCCTGGTTCGGGATCGCGCTGGATATGCCGGCTCCACCGCCGATCTACATCGTTTGGGCCTGGTCGCGCACGGCAAGAGGCGCCCCCGCGCTGCGGGGGCGTTTAGTTTGGAAGTCCGACAAGGAGCGGCTCGGAATGATTTTGGACACCCGAAGGGTGAGATCGCGGTTTGTCGAGCCAGCGCATGCCCAGTTGGCTACAGCGTCTGCTTGGGGCACCATCGATGTCGGCGACGGCGCCGAGCTCAACCTGGCCCGGGCGGGCCGACGTGGACAATACCTTCTACCAGATCGAGCTGGCCCCGGGCATGCGCGACCCCTTTGCGCCGCCGGCCGCGCACGGGGAGTCGTTGATCCAGGCGCTGGGCGTGGGCGGCAAGGGCCTTGCAGCTGGCGCAAGGATATCTCCTCTTTTGATTGTTCTCCCAATGGGCGGGCCTGGTCACTTCATATGTGCCGGCGTCTCCTGGGGCAACGCGCACTTGATGCAGGTTGCCCCGAGGAATTTCATCCGCGACCGCCGCCTGGCTCCAAGCCTGTGTCAAGTATCGATGGGCACCGGAGTTTGCGTGGATAACGTCGCGGTCGTGAGTCAGGGCCCCAGTCTGGCTGTCGCTGCCTGTGAGCAGATCGCCAATGAGATGGAGAGCGTCGGCCTCGCTTGCAAGGGCGCCAGTCAGCCCCGCGACGGGCAGGCGTTCGCAGGCATGGTGTCTGAGAAGAAGAATGCTACGATCAGAATGTCGGCATTTCGAATTTGGAAGACCCGTCTGGCCCTGCTCTTGATCGCCGACCGTGGTTGGGCTACCAGAGACGAGCTATCGCGTCTCTTGGTTCAATTACTTGGCATGCTTTGTTGCGCCGCTGTCTGTTGAGCCTCCTGCGTCAGTCCTACATCTTTGCGCGGAAGGCGGGAGGTGCCGAGCGTCGGCTGCGGGCGGAGGCGTGGGCGGATATCAGGCAGGCCGCCGCTCCCCCCCCCCTTCGCCGTCGCGAGTCGCCGCCGCCTGGGCGACCCAGTGGCGACTGCCTCCGGCGCCTCAGGTGCAGATCGCGGAGGTTTCGGAGCCACGGAGCTCGAGAGGGGCCCAGAGGCCGCGGAGCGTGCCATGATGGCCCAGAGCGAGCGTTGGAGGTGCGGCGTCAGCTCGGCTATCTCGGCTCGGGCATCGGCGCTTGGGCTTCAGGCCCCTCGAGTGCCTCGCGCCCCTGGCTCTGGCGATCTGGTCGACCAGCTAGCCAGCCTCGCGTCCGCGAGGCCTCCGACGCCCCCCCCCCGCAGGTAGTGGGCGGCCGCCATCGCGGCGCCGCGGACTTCGTCTCAGTGCCTGAGGATCTGGTCGGCGACGAGCGGGCGCGGAAGGTTCTTCAGCGGGCGCTTCAGACGGCCAGAGGACATCATGACCCAAGAGGCTCGCGCAGCTCTGACGGGGGCCAGGCATCGCGCGCGCGCAGTTGGACGCGTTCATCGGCGCCACATTCTGCTGATCGACAACCTGGTCCGTGTCTTTGTCATGGGAAGAGATGGGTCAGGATCAGTCACAGTCAACCGTCAGCTTCGTTTGCTCGCAGCCTGGTCGACATCCTCAGGGGCACCTTCCATTGGCCGTTGGATCCCCTCAGAGTGGCAGCTGGGGGGCGCCCCGTCGCGCATAGCATCGGCTCGAGAATGTGATCCGCGAGGAGATCCTCGGCGCGCTTGCTACTCTGAGGCCTCCAAGCAATGGGGGGCCGCTGGGGCCCTGCGGGCCCAAGTTGACGAGTTCCTCTGGGCTGGGCCAACTGCTCCGCGGCGGGCTTGCGCGAGCGCGGCGGCCTCTTCGTCGACGACCTTCGCCTGGGCTTTGCGCCCCACGCCGTGCATGGGCAGCCTCGCTGAATCAGTGGCGCGCCAGGGTCGACGACAGTCAGAAGTTCGAGTGACAGTACCTCTCCCCTCTTTGTCGAGCAGCAGCGAAGGCGCCATCGACCTCGCGGGCGTGAGCTGCAGCGAAGTTGCAGGCCCGGGCAGCGCGCCGGCCGCGGGCGCATGGCTCCAAGAAGGAGCCAGCGCAGCAGCCGGGCCTCACGGCGCTGCATTTCGAGAAGGTTGGGCACCGCGCCAGGAGGAACTTTCAGCGCGAGTGGGACGAGTTCCGCCAGCTGTGCCAGGAGCGGGGGGTGACCCCCCATACAGTCGAGCAGGTGAACACCATGGCGCATCTCTACCTCGATGCGCGGTTCTTCGCGGGCTACAACCGCGACCGCGCCGGCAAGCTGCGCGCCGCTCGTCGGCACTTCCTCCCGAAGGCGGGGATCGGCGACCATGGGGAGATGGAGGCCGCCCTCGCCGCCATGAAGGGGCGCCGCCGCCGGGGCCGCGGGCGGACTCGGGCCCGTCTTGCCAAGCCGCTGGTGTTCGCCGCTGCGGGGTAGGCCGCCCATTGGGGGTGGCTCGACACGGCGATCGCGTTGCGCTTGAGCTGGGGCGCCTACTTGCGCCTCCCGAGCGACCTCCTGCAGCTGACGGGGGCCTCGCTCGTGCCGCCGGCGCGGCTGGGCGGTCAGGCGCTGCGGGCGGCGGGGGTTTGGGCGCTCCTGCTGCGTCCCGAGGAGCAGCCGTTGCGCGGCAAGGCCGGCCAGTTCGACGAGGGTGCCGCCCTCGCGACGCACGTGTCGCTGGCCATCGGACGTCGCATGCAGCAGCTCAAGGAGGCGGCCGGTCCCGAGGGTCGGGCGTGAAACATGGACGCCTGCGAGTTCGGGCGGGAGTTCCGCGCGCTGTTCCGCGCCCTGGGGCACGACTCCGCGCGCCCGTGCCAGGTGCGCCACGGGGCTGCGAGCGCAGCCGAGGGTCATCGGGCGTTGGCGGCCACCTGGCGTCGTCTGAGGCACGCCGCCGGCCGGTCCAGCAAGAGGTGCGCCAAGCATGCCAGGTGCCTGTCAGAGCTGGCCTTCGCCCCCCTGCCCACCCTGAGCTACGGGCGCCTGGCGAGCGAGCGGCTGGCCGAGGTGATCTCAGGGAAGGCGCAGTTGGCGCCCCCTGACTTTGATGGCAGCGGCCCCCTGAAGGCAGGAGCCGCGCGGAAGGCGGGACGCACTGGCGAAGCCACCCACCGCGTTTCGCATTCAGATCTGCTTCGCAGATGCCAGCGTGCTCTTCGTGAAGCGCTGCGTCGTCGGCGACGCAAGCAGGATTTGCTCGATGTGTTTTCTGGAAGCAGGAGCGTGGGCAAGTATGTCGAGAATCAAAGGGGAGCGGGGAGTCGTGCACCGCGATCTCGTCGACGATGAGGCTTTCGACGTCACGCATCCAACGCTGATCAGAATTATCCAAGGATGGATATCGAGTCGTGTCGTTTGGGGTATATCCATTGCTCCTCCATGCTCCACCTGGCCAAATACATCGTGGTTTCTTACCGAGATCTGGTTTCAATTGATGGGCGAAGCGAGCCCAGCGACAAAGTGAAGCAGCGGGTGAACATAGAAACCTGACCCTGATACATAGCCAGCATGTCGTTATGCTGTGCCTCAAGTATGGAGTCCCCGCCATACTGGAGAACCCTCTGACCTCGCTCATAAGGACAGAGCCCGTCCAGGACCATATCCGATCGCTTCGCTCTTGTGCAGAGACATGTGCTGGCTATTGCCGGCACGGGGCCCGATAGAGAACATCGATTCGTTGTTGCGCGCGGAATTGTGGACGCGCCCCCTGGATCTCGGAAAAAACGCTGCTCGGGTAGACGCGGTATCTGTTCGGCCACGGGACTCAAGGCATATCACGCTTCAGGGAAACGCCCCAGGTGGAAAGAAGTGGACCCATATAGCTGAGCCCTACCCAAAGCCCGTCTCACGCGCCCTGTCAAAATGGCTCTTGAGTGCCGGCAGCAGTACGGAGAGCGCCAGGTGTGCACGTTTGGTAACATAGTAGAAGCCAGCCTTCGTCATACCATGTGTACATATGTCCCCTGTCCACGCACACACACACATTTGATCCTCCGTTCCCTTTTTGTTTGCACGTGTGTCAGCTGCCAGGCATCCAGTCTGGGGAATGGAGATTCGCCAGCGGCGAATCGAGGGAGGCGCGCAGACAGAGCGCCTCCCGCTGGTGGGCGGATAGCCAGCACTTCGAGACGCAACACCTGGCCATGAAAGGAGCCGGGACTGGAGAGCATGCCCTTGTTGTCTAAACGTGTTTGCTCGTGCCCCGCAGGTCTTGGCCGTCGCAATGCCGTTGCCACTGCCCTTGCTCACGCTTCCATCCTCTGCCCCTCCACCGCCCTTTTGTTTTCCTGCCTGAAGTATCTAACATGTCGTCGGAGACTCGCCGGCGACGAATCGAAGGAGGCGCGTAGACACAGCGCCTCCCGCTGGTGGGCGGGTAGCCTGCACTTCGAGACACAGCATCTGGTCATGAAAGGAGCCGTGGCTGGGGAGCATCCTCCTCCTTTTTCTTCTCCTTCTCCTTCTCCTCCTCCTCCTCCTCCTCCTCTTTCTGTGGGCCTCGCAGATGGGGTCGGAGTACAGTGGATACCCATGCTCAGAAACACCGTGCTTGCCTCCAGATTGCCCTGGGCCTCTTGGGTTTCGATGGTCGGGTTTCGGAGAGCGCGACGTTCCCTCGCCAGAAATCCATGGACGCCCTGGGGTCTCAGAGTCGGGTTTCTTGTGGAGGTTTCTTGTGGATGGGCCCCTACTGCAAATCATTGCACCATCGCGATACATCCCACCGGCGCCCTGGATTTCGGTCGGGCATGTCCTCCCACATGCGGATTTTGGAAAAATAGAAATAGCCATGACATATCCGAAAACAACGAAGTCGTCCCCATACTATTTCTCGACTACTTTTGAATTTCCTCCTGTAATGGGGCACGCCCGACCTGACCCTGGACCCCATGGTTTTACGGCGTTGTTCTGAGCCGGATCGCTTTGTGTTGATTTCAGGGCCTGACGTCGCGGCGAAAACGCGCGGCGCGGAAAATGCGGGGCTCGAACCCACACACCACCACCACTACCTCCCTCAAGGTTTTTCTGTCCCAGGAAAGAGATGTAGAAGAGAAGGCTGGAGGAGGGGAGGGGAGATGAAGGTGGTAGTGGTGTGTATATACATATTTATAACATATATATATATATATATAGGTGTCATTTGTACTGTATGTATGTAGGTGTATGTATGTGTATGTGTATGGGTATGTGTATGTGTCTGTGTCTGTGTCTGTGTATGTGTATGTGTATGTGTATGTGTATGTGTATGTGTATGTATGTGTATGTATGTGTATGTGTATGTGTATGTGTATGTGTATGTGTATGTGTATGTGTATGTGTATGTGTATGTGTATGTGTATGTGTATGTGTATGTGTACGTGTACGTGTATGTGTATGTGTATGTGTAAGTGTATGTGTATGTGTATGTGTATGTGTATGTGTATGTGTATGTGTATGTGTATATATATATACACATACAAATATATGTAGACATATACATATATATACATATATATATACATATACACATATATATAGCGGTGGCGCCCGCATGATTTATTAACAAAAAACGCCGGAAGCTCGGGGCGCACCACACCTCGGGGCACATGGGAGGCCCTGGCCGGGCGAGGTGCGGCCGTGTGCACAGGTGCCCTCCCTGTGCCTGCGGGCGCGCCCAGCAAGCCTCCAAAGTGAAGTCGGGCATGTCCCCCCCACAGGAAGAATATCAACACATCGTAGAACACATAGTATGATGACGATGTTTCAATTGTTGTTCTTCTATTTGGGAGCATTGTTTGGTTGTTGTTGTATTCCTCGTCCAAAATCCGCCTTCTGGGGGACATGCCCGACCTAACGCTAGGACCGCAGACACGCTGACGGGGATGTAGGTAACCGCGATGAGGCTTCGGTAACTATTGTAGGTGGGGCGGGCGTGACCACATTGATTGTAAGAGAGCGTGGCTCGTGCTTTTTCACGGTGTCTTTGTTGCTCGATGCACCCGCGCGTCCGAGATGAAAAGAAGTGTGGCCCGGGATTCGGATATCCTACAATTTGTTTTCCGCGAGATCGATGTCGCAGAAACTCGATTCCCAACGTGACCATTTACCATCATCGCCGTTAGCGTGGCCATGTCTCTGCGGCGAGCGAGGGGGGAAAGCGAAAAGGATAAGGCCTTCTCAGAAGGCGTCGAGACTTCTCAGACGGCCTCTGGCCTTCGGATACGGTTTTGTTGTTTTCGGCGGAGGCTCAGACAACTTCTCAGAAGGCCAGAGGACTTCCAAGCTTTCTTAGAAGGCGCGCGCGCGCCCGCGCGCCGCTCATCCGCAGCTCGAGCCCGAGGGGACGCCCTCCCGCCGGCGAGGCCAGTCGTCGCCTCAGCCGCCGCCGCCGCCGCCGCCGCCGCCGCCGCCGCCGCCGCCGCCGTCGTCGTCGTCGTCGTCGTCGTCGTCGTCGTCGTCGTCGTCGTCGTCGTCGTCGTCGTCGTCGTCGTCGTCGTCGTCGTCGTCGTCGTCCCGTCGTCGACGCCGCCGTCGTCGTCGTCGTCGGTCTCGTCTTGGTCGTCGTCTTGTCGTCGCTGTTGAGCACCCACTTTTAGGAATACCGGAGGTTGATAGACCTCCTATCCTGACACGTCGAGTAGTGAATTGGCTGTTCAGGGTTAGCGAGAGGACGTCGGGGCCGTTATTTTTGCGGGTCCAGGTCGGTTTCGGTCCTAGGCCGTGTTCATTAAAGGGTGGTTTGCTAAAGGGAGGTTTGTCCACCGCCGAGAATAATTGTTGTTGATTTCCGGAAGCTGTTCCGCGCGCTTTAGCCTCGACGCCAGCTTTTTGTTTCTTGTGAAGACGGGGCTCCGGCTCGAGCGGGGGGCTTAGGTGTAAATGTGGGTCCTTGAAGGTTCTGCTACGAGGACAACGGCTCCCGCTTGATACTTCCTCGCAAGTTATTATGAGACGCCTTGGCCAGCGAGGCTCCCAAAGTCAGACACGGCACTCTCGTTGGAGACTTCTTCGCAGTTCGTTTAAGTTGGTAGAGGCCCAGCTGCGACGACAGCGGCTCCCGCTCGATACATCCTCACGACTTAACTCCGAGGCGCCCTGGCCAGAGATGCCTTCCAATTCAGGACAGGCGTTCTTATTCGGCACATGTTCGGAAATTCGCTCTAATTGGACAAGGGCCAGCTACGACGACAGCGGCTCCCGCTCGATACTTTATCACAATTTACTCCCAGGCGCCCTGGCCAGAGAGGCTCCCAAGTTCAGGGAAGGCGCTCTCGTTCGAGAAATCCTTCTACTTGGGTTTAATGTGTGACGGCTCCCCGCCGATACTTCCTCGCAATTTGCTCCCAGGCGCCTAGGCCAGACAGGCCTGCCAATTCGGGAACAGCGCTCTCGTTCGAGACATCTCTGTAGTGCGGCCAAGTGGATAAAGAGGACAGCCACGACGACAACGGCTCCCGCTCGACACTTCATCACAATTTGTTCCCAGGCGCCCTGGCCAGGGAGGCTTCGCAATTCAGGAACGGCACTCTCTTTCGAGACATTTTCGCAGTTCACTCCAATTTCAAAAGGGCCAGCTACGACAACAACGGCTCTCGCTCAGTACGTCCTCGCAATTTACTCTCAGGCGATCCAGCCAGAGAGCCCTCCGAATTCTGGAGCAGCGCTCTCTGTCGAGTCATTTACGTAATTCGCTCCACTTGCTAAACGGACGACCACGACGACGCCGGCTCCCGCTTGATAATTCCTTGTAGTTCAATCCGCGGCGCCCGCCCCCCCCCTCCCCCCTCGGAGAATCGAGGATCGAGGACCCAGGAGGAGGAGGAGGAGGAGGAGGAGGAGGAGGAGGAGGAGGCGGTAGAATCGAGGAGGGCGAGGACCGAAGGTCGAGGCGGATCGGGGGGGATCGAGGAGGATCGAGGATCGATGCTCGAGGAGGGGGGGGACGAGGATCGACGCGGATCGCGGAGGATCGAGAATCGAGGATCGAGGAGGAGGATCGAGGAGGAGGAGGAGGAGGAGGAGGAGGAGCATGAGGAGGAGGAGGAGGAGGAGGAGGACGAGGAGGAGGCGCCGAGGCCGCGCCCCCTCTGCCCCTGCCCAAGGCGCGGGGTGGGGCCGCGACCCGGCGATGGCCGCGTCCAGCTCCTCGGGCAAGTGGAAGACCTTGGCGGCTCCGCGGCCGCCTCTCTCGGGCGATCGCAGACATGGATCAAGGCTTTTTTTGGGCCCCGGAAACGGCAGGGCCGTTTTTTTCCACCGTTTCCAAACAAATGTCCTCTGAAAATGGGAACGGCAAAAAACAACGGCGGCCGGAAACGGCAAAAAAACGGCTCCAGGAGCCGGAACCTGTCGTTTCCAGGGCCCACGAAGGATCAAGGGGGTGTGGATTAGAGGCGGGTCCCGTTTCCGTGGGAAAGCGCGGGCTTCCGCCGCCGAGCGAGGCGGCACTGGCCGCATTCTGGTGAGGGCATCTCCCCCGATCTACGGATTTGGCGACCGCGCGCCAAATCCATGGATCGCTAGTCCATGTTTACGCGCCCCCGACTCTTGTCGCTGTGACTCCCCAGAGAGCCAACGCGTTGAATAAAATGAAGACGAAGGTCTTGTCGCCGTTTCTCGGCCTCCCAGTCGGCGGCGAGCCCGGGGGGGGGAAGTGAGAAGGAGAAGGCCTTATCGGGAGGCTCGGACGTCCCCCGGCCTTCTGAGAAAAGTTGCTCAGGCTTTCCCCGAGGACACAGAAAACTGCTCAGATGGCCCGAGGGTTTCTGAGAAACCCCGCCGCGTCCTGAGAGGACCTTCGCCTTCTCACTTCCCCCCTCCCGCTTGCCGCCGATCTAGAGTCGGGCCGCGCGAAAGGGATAGGGAAAGGGGAGGTTACGGAATCTGCAGCATGCAGCGCAGCTGGTTTCCGCCCGCCGCTGAGCCCACTATTCGATGCACGGGCGCCTCCTGGCGTCAGGAGGCCCCACGAGAACCAGCTACATGAGCCGATGCTCTCCCCTGCCCTTTGCTACCCGATGCCCTTTCGCACCCCCCGACAGAGAGGCCCTGGCTGCGTCCCAGGACGGTGAGAAAGCGGATCGGGATGCGAAACCGGCCCCGGGGAAAGTCTCGGGGCTTCCGGGGGTTGCGTATGGATAGAGACACGGCGTCGGACCTCTGGGTCCCGCCGCGGCCGCCATGGTCGTCTCCGCCGCCGCCGCCGCCGACGGCCCCTATCTCTCTGGGCCTGAAGTGTCCGCCTAACTTTGGTGCGTGGTTACGGGTGCATTCCCGACAACTGTTCAGAAGGAAAAACAGCACACAGGCACAGATAAACATCGCTTCCCGTACAGCAATAGAGGGGGAAAGACTATGGGCTGAGCAGAGGAGAAGACGGAGCTCGAGAAACTATAGACACATATATGGGGAATCCTTTTTTTTGTGTTTGTGTGTGTCCATGTGCGCCTTCAACTCTGTCGGGAATGCAGCCACCCTGCGGAGGATCCGAAGCTAGGGGGGGGGGGGCGGCGGAGCACAGCGAATTGAGATCGAGATCCGGGCGCTGCATCGTTTTCACACCGCGGGAGTTGCCGCCCGGCCACGGTCGGGGGTGAACAAACACACACTCTGACGCGTCGATGAGTGAGTTGTCCGTCTTCGGTTCTCGGGAGGGTGCCGCGGCCATCATTTTCCAGGCTTGCGCCCGCCAGGTTTGGGCCCGAGGTCGTTTTCACCAAACCACGTTTTACTAAAGGGGGTTCTGTTCATCCCCGATTCGGGCCCTGGAACCATCACGGACCGATGTGTCTCGAAGCATGCGGCAGAATGGATGGGGTCTGAGGACACGTTGGTCGCTGACAGGCGACCAACGTGCGGGGCTCTGGTTGTGACTTTTCGCGGTGCGGCATTTTTGTCCACAACGTCCGATCTCAGGGGTGTTTCCGCCACCGACGCTGTCGCCGTCGCTGCCGCCGCCGCCGCCGTTGTCGTCGCCGCCGGCTCCGCGGGCCAGACGTGTGCGGGGAGGGGACCGCCGCCGTCGGGCGTGGCCTGCCGCGGGGTGGCATGCACCTGCTGTCCGGGCGGGCAGGAGAGACGAGCAAGGAGTCATGAGTTAGTGGGCATGCAGGGTCGCTGCACGGTTTGGGGACTCGTGTCGGTTTCTTTTGCGAACAGGGGCCTCCGAGGTCGTCAGACAGTGCGGTGACGCACAGCGCGTTGAGGCCTCTTGGGGTTCTGAGGTCACGCCGCAGTCCGTCACACGGTTTTGGGACCCCGGCAGAAAGTTCAGGCCTCCCAGGTGGGGTCCGATTAGATAGGTCGGAGGATCGCGCCGCGTCGCCGATACGTCGACAATGCGACTCGGTGTGGCTTCGACGTCGCCGATGCATCGGCGATGTATTGGCGATGTATTGGTGATGCGGCGCGATTCACCCACCGCATCTGTTTGGACCTGGTTTGGGAGGCCTCGAGGAAGTGCAGTCTGCCTGCGGCATTTCGCAATGGAGGATACAGTTGGCCCTGATTAGTATGTCGACCTTGCCAAATCAAGGGTATTATATCCCATGGAATAAACATCCCGGGGAGACTTGTCCCAGGGAGCTCGTTCGGGGGGATAGTCTGGATCTCCGTTGGGTTGTCCTAGGGGTTGTCGAGGGTAGGTCGTCCTGCCGTCATTAATCAGCATGGGTTGTCCAGGGGGGGTCCGCGGAGGTTTCTCGATTGGAGAATTTTGTTCATAAAAGCCCGCTTGTAGGTGTCCTGGGGGAAAGGGGGTCTTGCGCTTTTTTCCATCTTGCCCGCTCCTCTGGTTTCAAGTCGGGCACGTCCCTCTACAGGAGGGATATTCAAACATAGTTCGAAAATAGTCAGGGGACGATGTCTTTTGTTGCCTATGTTTGATGATATTTTGCCTACTGTTTTGTTCCTCCAAAATCCGCCTGTAGGTGGACATACCCGACCTAACTCTGGTGGTATTTTCAACGATCGACCCGGGATGAGCGGGCGGTCGCGCGCCCGGTGGGGAAGTCTGGGCTCCAGGGCAGGTCTCCTTCGGGACCCCTTATAGCCGCCGTGCCGAGAATCTGCGGGGGGGGGTCCCATCGGACGGGGCAAGGACGAGGGGAAATTGCTGGGAGCGCATTCAGACTGTTCTCCTCCTCCTCCTCCTCCTCCTGCGGGCAGAGCTTTCTGGAACGCTCTCAGAGCGTTCCGGAACGCTCTGAGATGGCCGCGGCGCCCGAGACATCTCCCAGAGCTGCCGGATCTTAGAGATTCTCGATTTAGTTACCCTCACCCGACTTTGTCCTCGTCCTGGCTTCATCTTATCCCAGGATGTATGTCGGGAGCCCCCAGGACATATTTGGGGAGCTCCGAGGATCCTGCCAGGAAGCTCCCTGAGTTGGCGGGTTCGCGACGGCGAGGCGGATGAGGAGGGGGGCGAAGAAGGGGGAGGATGGGGAGAGTGTGGCAGGGATCGTGGGATGAGGGAGCTGGACGGGGGAATGGAACGGCGCAGGGGAGGAGGGGAGGGAGGGACAGACGATGTGAAGAAGGGGGGAGAGCGAGGGAGGAGGGCGAGAAGGGTGAGGAGAGGGAGAGCCAGGGCGAAGGAAGGGGGTGGGAGGCGTGGGAAGGAGGAGGGGAGGCGGTGACGCATCGTGCGCAGGCAGGGCAGGGGAGGGCGGAAGGGAGGAGGCCGAGGCGGTCCTGGGCCGCCTCTTGTGTGCAGTTAGTTCCTGACGTCGCGACAGGCCAGCCTGGGCCCGTCAGAGTTGATTAGTGGCGGACGTCATGTTCCGCGAGCTCATCTGATTCGGCGGCGGGGTCGGGGGGAAGTGCGAAGGGGCGGGCCTTCTGAGAAGGCTCGGAAGTCCCCGGGCCTTGGAGAGGTTTTGTGAGTCGTCCACCAGGACGCAGAAAGCTCATACCAGATGGCCGGAGGCCTCCCGAGAGGCCCTCCGAGAAGTCCCGCCGCCCGCTGAGGAGGCCTTCTCCTTCTCACTTCTCCCCCTCGCTCGCCGCCGACGGATACTCCAGGTCTTTCAATAAGCGTGGGGGGGTGGATCGCGTGGGGGGGTGGGAAGCCGCTGTCCTTCGGGGGGCGTGTGGAGGTTGGGGAGAGAGAGAAGGAGTGGGTTTGGGGCGCGTGGGGGGGAGGGCAAGGGGCGTCGGACAGGCTGCCACGGGGGGGGTGCTTGTTTCAAGGATCTGGAGTACGTATTGTCGCACTCTTCTGTGCTGCTAGGTCGGTGTCTGCAGTGGACAGGCCCCCCGTCTTCCTCTGCGCGTGCAGTTGGGGCGCTTGGTTGTTTCGCCGGCGCAGCCCGCAGTCTGAGTTTCGCGAGGCGGATTCTGAATCGAACTGACGGCAGAAACTCAGGAGGGGAAGAACACACAGACACAATTAATCGTCGACTCCCAGGAAAGTATAGAAACATACGGGAAGTGGGGGGGAAGACGAAAACCCAGGAAATATGGGTACATATGGGGAACCCTGGGATTTGTGCCTGCTTATTGGTGTGTCCCAGGGCCCCGTTCGGGGGTCTGATGTGTGGGGTGCTGGCCGTGGACAGGTGTTGAGGATGGCTTAGCTGGCCGTCTGGGGCCGCTTCAGTGAGGACATGTTGTTGGCTGCCTTGGGCCGCTGGGGCGACGAGTTGCCGCTGGCCGTGATTTTGGCAGTTCTGTTACCCATTTGTTTGTTGGTAGTCTCCCGACAGGGGGGCAGGGATGTCGTCCTTGCCGTGTTCGGCCAGGGATCGAGGATGTGTTGTTGGTGGTGGTAGCTTGCTGTGCCGATCACATTGTGTTGCGAAGGCCTTGCGGCCGCTGCCGCCGACCCTGAAGGAGGAGGATGACGACGACTTCGACGACGACGCCGACGACGACGACGGCGACGACGACGACGGCGGCGGCGGCGACGTTAAACACATTCAGAAACCTATCCAGGAACATTATGGATGTTATCCTTGTTGGGGTTATCTTGTAAGTGCTCTTGGGACTCTCTTGGGCCTTTTGGGGGTCGCTTCGGTGCCCCTTGGGGGCTTCTTCGGCGCCTCTTGGGGCCTCCTGGAGGCCTCTTGGGGCGGAAGACTCAAGATGCCGGTCGGTGTTTCCTCTCTCGGGGGCCTCTTTGGGTGTTTGGGGGGCCCGATAGGGCTGTTTTGGAGGCCTCTTGGGCGG